CTGTTGCTGCTGCTGTTGCTGCTGCTGGTGTTGCTGCTACTATTATTGTTACATATTTAATTTGTTTTAATTGCAAACAATGCAAAGTGACCATTCCCTGCTGGGAACTCAGCCTCTGATGCTGCAAACAGGGTTTTATTGCTGCATGACTCTGCTGCTCGGGGCTGAAGGTGTGAGCTGTGCTGAGGAAAAACCACAGTGGTTTTAGTTACTGTTGGGTTAGAGACATTGGGGTTTGCAAACTCCAGTGGTTTCATGGCAGGGGAGGGGAAGGAACTTCATGACAGCATTTTCTGTTCCAGGGCTGAGTTGTTCAGAAACCAAGTGCAAAGTCCTCACAGGCAGCCAGAGGCTCCTTCCAGCCACGCTGATTTGGGGAGCAATTTTTGACAAGTTGGGCTAATTCTGCCCTTGGGAAGCTACAGTTCTGCTGCATGGGAAGGGCAGGTCAGTCCCCTGGGCTGGATTCCCACAGCACATCACCTGCCTGGGATCCCCATCCTGACTCTGACCCCCCAGAAAACACCCCAAGGCATTAGAGGACATTGTATTTCCTTCTGGCACTAATATTTCGTGTCTGGACCTGCACTGGGAAGGAGCTTTTTATCACCATCCTGAGGAGTAGCAGAGAGCTGAGAGCCACTGCACTAACAAAATACATTTTAAATCCTACAAACTGAGTGGTTTGGGTTGGGAGAGACCTTAAAATCATCCCATTCCACCCCTGCCCTGGGCAGGGACACCTTCCACCAGCCCAGGCTGCTCCCAGCCCCATCCAACCTGGCCTGGAACACTCCCAGGGATGGAGCAGCCACAGCTGCTCTGGGCAAAATAATCAGTTCTGTTTTGGTTTTCTGCACTTTGTGCTGTTTTTCTCAGCTGAGCCATCCCTGCAGCTCTAGCTCATGTCAGAGGTTGGAGCAGCTCAGTCTGCTCTGAGGCACATTCCTGCATTGGATCCCACTAATCTCAGGGTCCATTCCTGGTGAGTGTGGCCAAGTTTGGGAAATGCAAGTAGTGATTTTTTTTTCAATGAAACTCTTAGTTTGAACTTCATGATCAGAAATTCTCCCACTCCAGAGTGTAACTAGCACTAATTAGCTCCAGCAGGAGTAATCCCTGGGAGTGAGGTTAATAATGAGACTGGTGGGACAGAACAGCCTCGCAGGGTCAGAGCAGCAACTCCATAAAAGCATTTTGGAGCCATTTAATGAAAAAAGCAGAATTTTATTATATGGTTTCTGTCCATTATTCGGCATTGCTGTAAATGGCTCACATTTACTGCAACTTCTGTACAGATGTGTGGCTTTGTATTACCAGAACAGCAAATTTAAATGAAAAAATAAATGTTCAACAATTCCACACAAGCTTTTACAGTCCAACATTTCACTGAGTAGGTGAAAACTACAGACTTGTTACTACAGAATTATTCAGCATGAATAAAAAACTACAACTTTTAATTTTTTAAACAGGAGTCACTGGTTTAATTTTTTTTTTTTTTCTTTTTTTCTGCTGTTTAAAATCGCTGTGATAAAAATAATGATCTTTAATAATGCCATACACCGGTATGATATAGGATTTGTCCCCAGTATATATCTTCTTGTTTACTATACAAAATAGAGTAATGACCCATCGCTGACTCTGCAGGTGTCGGAGTGGGTGTTCCCACACTCGTGGCCTTCCCTCGGGATGGCCTCGCCGGATGATTTGGTTCCTATGAGACGTCGATGGCTCAGCAACCCCTGGTTGCAGACTGGGCTAAGGACAGAGCGTGACTGGTATAGAATAATACAATCTGTATAAAATCTCTCTCTAATCGTGTCCCTGAAGTCCTCCCTCCCTCCAGCTCGGCCGCGGGACGCTCCCGCAGCCCACGAGCATCCAGGCACTTCCTCCTCTCCCCTCCCTTTGCCCGTCAAAGTGGCGAGGTCACGTTTCGGCATCGATTGGCACCTTTCCCCAGCCCCCCCAGCCCACCCTCCTGCCCCGCAGTCCCCTCTGCCCCTAAGGCCTCTGCGCCGCCGCGCGCGGCGCTCCTGAGCTGCCCCTGCCGCCCCGGGCGGATCCGTGCACTTTGTGATAAGGCACTGAAGAGCCGAAGTCAGAATTCTCCCTGCTTTATCCAGAGTGCAGGGATACCCACTGCTACGCGGACTACGATAACAGGACATGGACTTCTCACTGCTGACTAAAGCACTACGTATTCTCGCTCGCGAAGGTTGGAGCTGAACAGCACGTACAAGACGGTCGCTTTCTGCGAACGGCACAGTTTCCTTTGTTTTTTAACCTTAAATCCACAGACTAAAAATGAATGTACAGGCATAAGACACAAGGGGCAGAGCCTCTCTCCTCCCACGTGGCCGAGTCACCCACGTGGGGATCACAGGACCCCAGAACTGGGGTTGGAAGGGACCCAAAGGCTCATCCACTTCCAACCCCCGACTCGATCACCTGTTGGAGTTCAGTTGCTTTTGCTGGCAAAAAATGACACGTTGGGGGTCCTTGCACCCATCCCCAGGCTCAGAGCGAGGGCTCTGGGGGTGCAGGTTTGAACAACATTCTCTGAAGTAAGAACAAGTTTCCCTTGACCCAACGAGCCCCTGAACCCCCACAGCACCACACTCCTATCTGTATCGCACACGGGTTTCCGCCGCACCGCGCTGGGAGCCGGAACCCAAATCCTGACCTTCACCTGTTCCAACATTCCTTACAGATCAAACAGGAGAATGATTACTCGTTTTTATTAGAGATGCTGTTTTACTCCGAGTACTGAATATAGGAACTTTTTGTAGGCCTCAGATTCGGAAAGAGGTTCAGGAAAGGATGAGAATTGAGTTTGCTGTTTCGGGTGGAACCCAACGTTTTGACCGAACACCCCACGCTCTGTGTGCACATATTGCTGGTTCCTGGTGCAGGTTATTGCCCGGTTTGGAGCTGTTTTTGTTTTTGCTGTGGGAGTGAGGCTGTGTGAGATTCCCTCGGGGTGTTCGGAGCGGACGGGCTCTGGCTCGGCCGTGTCTCGGGAGCGGATCCCGACCATACAGATAGGAGTATCCCACCCAAAATCCGACGGGGATTTGTACACAGTGATTTGAGAAACACAAACCCGACCCCACAAACACCCACGGAGCACAGGTTCTCCCCTCGGGACGCAGCACTTCTTTGGATACTAACACCGATGCCTCCAGTGCTGCCTCCAGCCAAACCGCACAGAACGGGTTCCCACTCAGCATATTTGTGACCCCTACAAAAAAATATAATTACATGTATCATGATAGAGCAATCTGTCATCTAAAAATCATCCTTATTATACACTATACAAGCTATTTTACAATCATTTAATAAATTGCTTTTAAAGCTGCAGTAGCCCTTCCCTTCTTGTCTCGGATCAGCGGATACACCGATTATACACATCGGAAACTATAACTAAATACAAAAATATATTAGGTTTTGCATTTTTCTCAGATGATCTTTCTCATTTCTATTACACAAATAATCTGGCCACTTCGAGTAAAAATCAGATTTTTAGAGTGGCTTAGGAAACGCTTCAATTTTGAGATACAGAAAATCGTTAAGGTGCACGTAGAAAAGGCTACTACAGCTTCTAAATGTCGGAAAATATCCTCATCAATGGCAACAAGGAGAAATCCACGAGACCTACGGGGATTTATGGCACGCCAGGAATTCCATGGGGAGGGATGCAGCCTTACAAAGACAGAAAGTTTGACGGACAACTCTAAGACCACGAACTCAGTAGCGGAGCTTTCCTGCTCCCCAGGAAAGGATGGAGCAGTCAGTGAGGGTGGAGGTGTGGAATTGGGTCTCTAGCCAGGCGAGTTTGGAGCTGGAGCTCAGTCCCAGCCGCTCGGCCGTGTCCCCACAGCAGAGGACTCCTGGGTCAGTGCAGGAGATCAGCCCCGAGGCGCCGGGCGCGATCCCACGGCTGCCCCTCTGCCCCTGGGGCGTCCAGGGATACTCGCGTGATGGCAGGTTTGAGTATAGAAAAGGAGAGTTTCTCCACACAGAAGTAAACTTTTCTGAAGCTATGCATATTTTCCCAAAAGATCCCTGATGGGCAGTCAGGACTGATCTTCTTGGCATCAGTGCAGCCCGTGACTCTTAGCGTTATGGCTGTTGCATCATATGCAAAATTCAGGCTTCGTTTTGTTGGTTGTCAACGTATAAAATAAGCTGCTCGTTTACATCCAGTGAGGACTGGGTTAATTCTCTGTGAATCTGCATATCCAACACTTTTGCGATGTACCAAAAGGATTTGTTTTGTTCGGATCTACTGAGATGAGACTGAGAGTGTTCTCCCACCCTCCCTGGCCCTTAAAAAATGCCAAATTCTTCTGGCTGCTTGGACAGTTGAAAGCGATTAGGTTAGAAAAGCCCAACCCATTCTCACATGGATCTACTCGAGGGTTTTGCTGTCTAGAGGTCGTTTAGGAAAGCTACGAGCTGCCCCACCTTAAAAAACCAGCTGTACAATAGGCATCTTGAAGTATTACAAAAAAATCATGTAAGAAAAAATGAACAAGCCAAGTTCACGGTATATAAAGTTAAAGGAAAATTGCTAAAACCAGACAGTGAGAGCTATAAAAGGCACAACTTCCCTTTTCTGATATACACTTGTAAACTTTCTTCAGGTTACATGCATAAACCAAAAATGCTACCTTAACTTTAAAAATAAAAATCCAAAACACTTCGCTAAAATAAAAATAAAAAAAAAAAAAAAAAAAAGAGCCTAAAAAATTGTCTCCAGCCAACTGCAGCAATTCATTACTTAGCAGAACGTCCGTAACAGCCTCAGAGCTTGTCACCGGTGGTTGATGCATCCGGGGATGGTGCAAAGGGGAGAGGAATTCTCCCTTCCCTGCTCCCCAGCTCCGTCCCCAAGGTGAGGAATCTGCTCCTCCCGCCCGACTCTTGGCCCTCTGTAAACCACATGTAGTGCATAATTACAAAAGAAACATCGCTGCGAGGACAAAAGGAACAAGTTCTGTAGGTTTTCTCTTTACAAAACAAAGCTATCGCGTGACGGCGTCTTAAGGCAACCCTTTGTGTTAAGGCAGTCACTTCTGATGGAACAAGAGCTTCTTGATATTTCCATTCGAGTATTTTGGTATCTGATTGCTGATGATTTCTGCCAACATCTCTGGGAACTCGATGCTCATGGATTTATCCAAAAATGTATGGAAGCAAAAGCTCAGAAGATTTTCAACCACCTACGAGTGAGAAGGCAAAGAATAATTTTCACACGACGTACAGGAGATCCCTTCACCTCCCTCCTCTCCTCCCAGCCCCTGCGGACACCGAGGGGCACAGGCTGTCCCCACGCTCCCCATCCCTGCTCGGGCAGGGCCTGCACAGGTACCCTCATTTCATTCATTAATTACTGCCACTGCCCTCATTTATTAATTCTTGTCACTGTTCGTCTTGCACACAGCAAGTGAACGCAGTGTGCAGAGTCTCTACAAACACTGACAAGATTCTGCATTAGTTCCCATTCCACAGATAAGTAACACACACAGGGAGAAGCTTCATTAGATCTTCCCAGGTGCTTGGTGCAGTGATGAGAAAACAGTAATTTTGAGGTCTGTTTTCCTTGTCTTAATCGTTCCTTGGACTGTCTGTGCTGTGTGTGCAGCTCAGAGAGGCAATGCCAGGGGAGCCAGCCTGAATTCTGACACAGGCTGCACATGGTGAGACACTGCACAGTCACTGCTTGCTCTGAGACAACTCTGGTCTGAAACTTTGCCTCTCTGCTACTACTGCAAATCACTGACAGTCTCCAAGGTCCCCTATGTAAAGCAGCATCATTTGTAAAAACCAAAGAGACTGAAAATGAGATTAATTATACAATTAATTGCTGCAGAGCTCACTGCAGAAGTGGCCTGAGAGCTCCATGTTGGTGCCTTTTGGTTAGCCCTTAGAGAGCAGAAGAGCATGAACTCCTCCTCCACCCCGGATATTTATCCCTTTAAACACAAAAAGGCTGGAGATGTCTGTCTCTGCCCCCAACATACTTATCTGGAATGCACAGCATTCCTTCGAGGACTTACATCATGCATAGAGTCCAGCAGCTTAGTCAGTTGATAAAATCGCTGCCAGTTCTGGCTGGAGTTCCCTTCTCTCTTCACTATGGCCTTGCCCAGCTCCTTGATGTACGTCATCCGGATTTCTTCAAACAGGGATTGGCTCTTCAGGCCTTCCTTGGGAACTGCAACATTGACACAAACCTTTGAGACATTACAAAACTAGGAACTGTTCTCTTACATTAGTTACACGGGGAGAGACCCTTCAGCA